CAAGACACATTTTAACAAAACATACTCCAGCAGCAGCAGCAGCAGCAACAACAACAGCATCAACAAGAACAGCAACAACAGCAGCAGCACGAACAGCACCAGCAGCAGCACCAGCAGCAGCACCAGAAGCAGCACCAGCAGCAGCAGCAGCAGCAGCAGCAGCAGCAGCAAGTGTACGCAATTTGGCGTTGATGGCGCACATAGACGCAGGAAAGACAACAGCAGGCGAGAGTTTGCTGCTGCTGTCAGCACAACTTGCAGCAAAAGGAAATGTCGATGACGGAACCACTGCGCTGGACTTCCTCGCACAAGTAAACCCTAAACCCTAAACCCTAAACCCTAGGCGTACTTCCGTGCTTAAGTAAACCCTAAACCCTAAACCCTAAAATAGAGAAACCAACACCTAATGGGTAATCGGCGCTGTACCTTAACTAGGGCCTGCAGCAGCAATGCCAGCAGCAGCAGCAGCAGCAGCAGCAGCAGCAGCAGCAAGAGCAGCAGCTGCACTAGCTGCAGCAGCAGCACCTGCTGCTGCTGTAGGTTTGCTGCTGCCGTGTGAGTTGTTTTTGAGAAGGTAGAAAGCGGCGAAAGCGTGGAGCATGGCTTCGGGTTTAGGGTTTAGGGTTTAGGGTTTAGGGTTTAGGGTTTGTGGGTGGGTGCAGGAGAGAGAACGAGGGATTACAATTCAAGCTGCTGCATCTCGTTTTAATTGGCGTCAGTTTGTCTTCAACCTAATCGACACCCCAGGGTCCTGCTGCTGCTGTTGCTGCTGCTGCTCCTGCTGCTGCCGTTGCTGCTGCTGCTCCTGCTGTTGTTGCTGCTGCTGCTGTTGCTGCACGCGTGCAGGGTGTTGCGGGTGCGCTTTTGCTGCTGGTGCTGCTGCTGCTTCTGCTGCTAAGCATAAGTAAAGGAGTCTGCAAGCCGCCTTTGCGTATCACGGCCTTTGCTGCTGCTGCACCTATTTTTGCTGCTGCTGCTGCAGCTGCTGCTGATTATGATACTGGTGTTGCTGTTGCTGTTGCTGCTGCTGCTACAGGCATGTAGATTTTTCAGTGGAGGTTGAGCTGTCTCTTCTTGCTGCTGATGGCGTTGTGCTGCTGCTAGACGGTACGCGAGGTGTTGAAGTGCAGACAGCAGCAATCTGGCGTTTGCTGCAGCAGCAGGAGCGGCTGCAGCAGCCGCAGCAGCAGCAGCAGCAACAGCAGCAGCGCGTGTCGCGACACATTCCACGGATTATATTTGTTAATAAAATGGACCGAGATGGCGCCGATGCAGTTAGTTGCTGCTGCTGCTGCTGTTGCTGCTGTTGCTGCTGCTGCTGCTGCTGTTTGCACTGTTGCGTTGCGTACATCTTGCTGCTGCTGATGCTGCTCCTCCTACAGCTTCACGCCCATAAGGAAGACTCAGTTTGCTGCTACTGCTGCTGCTGCTGCTGCTGCTGCTGCAGGAAGCTTGCCTTCAGTCGGTGCGGCGTCGCCTTGGCGCTTGGCCGCTGCAGCTGAACATAGCGGTTCGTCCTGCTGCTGCTGCAGCAGCAGGAGCAGCAGCAGCAGCAGCAAGGCCGCTGCTGCACCTCATAGACATCACTGACCTGCGCTGCCGCAGCTATTTACCTCACCCACTTGGAAGCAGTTTGCTGCCTCAGGTGGAGGAGACAGTCCCTCCTGCTGCGCTGCAGCGGCTTGTTGAGTCTCCTGCAGCAGCAACAGCAGCAGCAGCAGCAGACGCAGCAGCAGGAGGTCTCTCCGCGCAACTTGCTGCTGCTGCAGAGGAAGGAGACAGACCGCAAGGATGCTTCCAATGGTGGCAGCAGCAAGACCTGCTGCAGCAAGTGCTGCTGCAGCGGCAGCTGCTGCTAGAGGACGTCTGTCTCCTAGATGAGGCCTTCGAGGCCGTCGCATGCAGCAGCAACAGCAGCAGCAGCAGCAGCAGCAATATGCTGACGGAGCTGTGGCTTGCGCTGCGTCGGATTGTTTCTGCTAATTCAGGTGTACATACACCCCGCGATTGTTATTAGTTCTTCGCTTTGCTGCTTCTGCTTCCGTTAGGTTGCATGCGCTGCTATGATTGCTGCTGCCATTGCTGCTGCTGCTGCTGCTGCTGCTGCGGTGTCTGTACTCAGCTGTCCCGGTGTTGTTTGGCTCTGCACGCGACACATGTGGGGTGGAGTTGCTGCTGGATTCTGCTGCTGCGCTGCTGCCGTCTCCTTTAGAGTTGCCGCTGCCGCAGCAGCAGCACTACTCTTCTGCTGCATTCGCTCGCGCCAAGCAGCAGCAGCAGCGGCAGCAGCAGCAGCGGCAGCGGCAGCAGCAGCAACAGCAGCAGCAACAGCAGAAAGGTATCCGGCAGGGCCTGCCGCTTGCGGGGCTGTCCCCTCAGCAGCAGCTGCAGCAGCAACAGGGCCTAGGAGGGCAGCTCTTTTCTCCCAGCAGCGCAGCTGTTGCTGCTGCTGCTGCTGCTGCAGAAGCAGCAGCAGCTGCTGTAGAAGCAGCAAGAGCCGGAGGAGGCAATGCCCAGACAGCAGCAGCAACAGCAGCAACACCAGGTGCAGCAGCAGCAGCACTCGTACCTGCTGCTGCTGCTGCTGCTGCTCTCTCACCGCATGCAGTGGCTGCTGCTGCAGCATTTAAAGTTCTCCCTGAGCCGAACGGCTCTCGGCTCGCCTACTGCCGCATCTTCGCAGGTAAACCCTAAACCCTAAACCCTAAACCCTTGGTTTGAAGCCCTAGTCCACAAACCCTCGATCCTTAAAGAAGTGCAGCAAACCCTAGAGAAGAAAAGTTGTGTGCAATGGTGCTGCTGCTGCTGTCGTTGCCGTTGCTGCCGCTGCTGCTGCTGTTGCTGCTGCTGATGCTACTGTTGCTGCTGCTGCAGGACGGATGGAGGCTCCGTGCATTCTCTTTAACTCCTCGCAGCAGCAAGTAGAGCAGGTGCAGCAGCTGCTGCTGCCTGCTGCTTCTGCATACACCCCAGCAGCAGCAGCAGCAGCAGGAGATGTTGCGGTGCTGCGTGGCCTTATACACACAAGAGCGGGGGATACACTGCATGCTATCCCTGCTGCTGCTGCTGCTGCTGCTGCTCATCGGCAGCAGCAGCAGCAGCAGCAAATGCTACTGCCATTCGTTTTCCAGCTGCTGTCCGAACAAGCCGATCCCCAGATCCATGCAACAGCTGCAGCAGCAGCTGCTGCTGCCGGCAGCAGCAGCAGCATCGGGGAGAATGAGAAGGGTTTTTCTGAAGCTGCATTGCTTGCGAAGCTGGAGCAGCAGCAGCAGCAGCAGCAGCGTCTGCTTCCGGTTTGCTTTTGCAGTATAGACTGCAGCAGCAACGCCGAGGAGCAGCAGCTGCAGCAGGCGCTGCAGCTGCTGCAGCTGCAGGATCCTTCGCTGCTGTACACTGCAGCAGAAGGAGAGCCTGTCGTATTGTGGGGCCGGGGGCAGCTGCAGCTCGAACTCGTCAGAGACAGACTCCGCACAGAATTCGGTAACCTGCTGCTGCTGCTGCTGCTGCTGCACTTGCTGCTGCTCCACTTGGTGCCGCTGCCGCACTTGCTGCTGCTGCACCTGCTTCACCTGGTGCTGCAGCACTTCGTGCTGTTGCTGCACTTGCTGTTGCTGCACTTGCTGCTGGTGCGCTTGCTGCTGCTGCACCGGTTGGTGCTACGCTTGCTGCTGCAGCAGCTGTTGCTGGTGCGCTTGTTGCTGCAGCAGCTGTTGCTGGTGCGCTTGTTGCTGCAGCAGCTGTTGCTGGTGTGCGGCAGCACTTGCTGCCGGTTTTGCTGCAGCTGTTCGCCGTCTCAGCCGCTGCAGCTGCTGCTGCTGCACTTGCTTGTTTGTAATATGCATGCATTCAGTTATTTGGTGCAGCTGCTGCTGTTGCTGCTGCTGCAGGTCTGACGACGCACTTAGCCCCCGTTGAGGTTGCGTACAAGGAGCTGCTGCTGCAGCCGCTGAGCGGCACTATTACCTGGCCTCCCCGCAGCAGCAGCAGCAGCAGCAGCAGGAGGCGAGGAGGAGGCAGCAGCAGCAGCAGCAGCAGCATCCGTCTCAGCTTGGGTTTGGTGCCGCTGCCTGTGGTGTCTCCTGAGCTGCGTCTCTCTGCCTTGCTGAAGGGAGAGCGAGACCCTGCACCTGCTGCTGTTGCTGCAGCAGTTGCAGCAGCAGCAGCACCTGCTGCTGCTGCTGCCATGGAGAGTCAGTTTCCTATGGGCGCCCTGCGGACGCTCAGTAGTGCAGCAGCAGCAGCAACAGCAAAACCAGCAGCAGCAGCAGCAGCAGCAGCAGCAGGTTCTCCACTAAGTGGCTTGCAAGGGCTAACCTCTTCTTTTCTTATTATTGAGCCGCACGCGCAGCAGCAGCTGCTGCAGCTTGGGGCCGACGACGACCACAGCAGCAGCAGCAGCAGCAGCAGAAGCACCGGGACAGCTGTGGTGCATGCAATAGAAACAGCAGCAGCAGCAGCACTCGCAGCAGGGCCTTTGCGTGCGTCTCCTGTTGATTGGGTGTACATACACCTCAACTCGGTGGAGGTGGCAGGCGATCATGCTGCTGCTCCTGCTGCTGCTGCTGCTGCTACTGCGCACCTGCTGCGGATGTTGCTGCGGCGGGGCTACGCGGAGGACAGCGCTGCAGAAGACGTGGAGGGCTCGGGCCAAGCAGCAGCAGCAGCAGCAGCAGCAACAGCAGCAGCAGCAGCAGCAGCAGCGGGGCAGCTTCTTACTTTGGCGGAACCTATAATGTACCTGGAGCTGCTGCTGCCTGCTGCATGCGTTGGGGCTGCAGCAACAGATCTTACGCAGCACAGAGAGGCGCAAGTTGTCTCTATAACAGCAGCACATGGTGCTGCTGGTGCTTCTGCTGCTGCTGGTGATGCTGCTGCTGCTGCTGCTGAAGCTTGTGGAGCCTCTGAAGACGACGAGCGCCTCATGCAACTCGATGCAGCAGTAGGCCTGCTGCTGCTGCACTTGCTGCTGCTGCACTTGCTGCTGCTGCACTTACTGCTGCTGGCCTTGCTGTTGCTGCTCGTGCTGCTGCTGCACTTGCGGTTGCTGCACTTGCAGCTGCTGTAGTTGTTGCTACTGCTCCTCTTGCTGTTGCTCTTGCTGCTGCTGCTGCTACCGGGCCTGCTGCTGTTGCTGCGCTTGCTGCTTTTGCTGGCGGTTCATGGACTGCTGCTGCTGTTAGTTCTGTTGGCTGTCTGTGGCGCTGACGCTGCTGCTCTTGCTGCTGCTGCTGCTGCCGCTGCTGCTGCTGCTGCTGCTGACGTGTGTGTTGCTGCTGTGGGGTGGCGTTTGCTGCAGCTGCCGCTGCGGTGTGCAGAGGGCTGCGCTTCTTCTCTCTTGAGTTTGACTCGTGGTAGGGCTATGCTGCCGCTAGCTGCTTGGCCTGCTGCTGCTGCTGTCGTTGCTGCTGTCGTTGCTGCTGCTGTTGCTGTTGCTACTGTGTGATTTCTGTTCCTAGTCTTGCAGCCTCTGTTTCCGCTGTGGCTGCAGCATATTCTGCGACTGCTGCTGCTTGTATTGCTAGTGCTTCTGCTGCTGGTGCTGCTGCTGCTGCTGCTGCAGGGCGGGCGAACTTCCATTTGCGGCCGCTGGGGTATGGCGAGGTTTCTGCTGCAGCGCAGCAGGCTCTCCTGAATCGCTGATGCTCCCTGCTGCTGTGATCAGCAGCAGTAGCAGTAGCAGCAGCAGCAGAAGCAGCAGCAGCAGCAGAAGCAGCAGCACACCTGCTGGTCGTTGTCTTTTTTTTCTGCTGGGTCGCAACGGAGCGGCTCAGGGGTTCGAAGCCTCCAGGGCTTTTAGGGTTTAGGGTTTAGGGTTTAGGGTTTAGGGTTTGCTGCATTGAGTCCCTCAGTGTCTCCTGTTGCGGCTGGGGGTTGCACTGTACATACAGCTGAATATTTTGTGTTTGTCTCCTCTTTCTCTGTTTCTTTGCTGTCTCTCTTTTCTTTTGTCTCTGTTTTGTGTATTTGTCTCTTTTTGTCTCCTCTATTTCTTACCTGTCTCCTTTTTCTTTGTTGACTCCATTTGTCTCTTCTTTGTCTATTCTTTGTCTCTTCTTTGTCTCTTCTTTATCTCTTCTTTGTCTCTTCTTTGTCTCTTCTTTGTCTATTCTTTGTCTCCTTTTGTCTCTTCTTTGTCTCCGTTTGAGCGTTTGTCTCTTTCTTGTCTCCTTCTGTCTCTTCTTTGTCTCCTTTTAATATCTTGTTTGTTTTTTTGTCTCTCTTTGTTTCTGTTTTGTCTCCTTTGTCGTTCTTTTGTCTCTTCTTTGTCTCCTTTTTGTCTTTTATTCTTTTTTGTTTATTTTGTGTCTCCTTTTTGTCTCCTTCTGCTGCAGTTCGAAGTCTGCATGCGCGTTGCATTGAAAGGCATTTAAACAAACGCTAATAAACTGTCTCTATCTGTCTCTCTGTCTCTGTCTCTCTCTCTGTCTCTCTCTGTCTCTCTATCTGTCTCTCTTTTTGTCTCTCTATCTCTGTCTCTCTTTTTGTCTCTTTTTTTGTCTGCCTTTCTCTCTCTCTTCTCTCCATATAATTTTATATCTAAATATATATATATATATAGAAATATATATATATATATTTCTATATATATGTATATAGATGTGAATATATGTGGGTGTAGTGTTAT